GTAACATACCAGTCCTCTGACAATCTCCTCCAGAATCTCCTTTTCATCGAATTCGCGTAATCTCTGAATGTCGGCGACGGACCAAATGTTTTTACACGAAGGCTTCGCACTCTTTTCGGACATCAGTTTTAATCTCAACTTTTCGCTGTTTAGGGATGTGATGGAACTGTTCCGGCTGTCGGTGTCGTTACTCATGGAATCGGAATATTCTTTATTACTGCCACTTCTTTTGGTCAATAATTTCTTGAAAATCCCTTTTCTTTGCCCTTCTAATGAAGTTTTACGAATATATTCCACTCTTTTCTGTACTTTCTTCTTATCTTTGGCCACACCTATCAAGTCGTCAATCTGTTGGTCAACCCATACGGCAATTGTCTCCCTTTTAGACCAATGACTCCGTAAGCGATGACTTTTAATCTCAAAGTACTTCGCACCACATCTTTCCTTCAAGTAATCCATTAAATCACTGAATAATGGGATTGAAGGGGAAGTATAGGTCAGAGGGTCGGCGTCTGTCTTGAGCTGTTCCGACATTTCAATGTATTCGCAGTAATTGTCTGAAAAGTCATTTGATATGATTTGCCAGCACTCGCGTAGTCTTGCGATGGGAGGACTTTGAAGACTTAATATTATAGAGCAGACTGAATGCCAATTCTGTAGAGCTTTCAGTTCTTTTGCCACCTTTTTATGCAAATCATAATTAATATTGAATTTGCAAAAGTATACACAAAATCAAACCTCAATAAAGTAAGCGATTCTTTTGGCACATATTTGAGGGTCAATTAGTTTCAGTAAATAACTTGATATCAGTTGAATCATCCGCTTTTGAAAGCCCAATAGCGCAGCGATATTGGAACAAGTGCCCTGGATAATTACATGTATAGTATAAGTTATTCAGTTATTCTTATTCTTATTGATAACAAATTATTGCATTAGATAATATGAACAGTACACGTTGTATAACTTTATTAAGTTATACTGTACAATTTATTAGGTAACAAATTATTATATAACTTTAGTAAGTTATATTAGTAATATAATATTACTTTTAAAAATGAAAGTAAAGTCCAAACATTTTTAACTAATATTCTCTTATTTTTATACTGCAACTGGAATTCTATTAATTTATTCAGTTTCCTAGTTTAGAATTTAAGTTAAAATATTAAATATTATAAGTAGTATTCAATGTATTATTAATATTGGTATTTACAAAATCCATTTAAAGTAATATTTTCATGACTTACAGGGCTTATAGAATTTGGTCGAATTAATAGTGTTATGATTTCAGTGCCATTTAGTGATAAAAACAATTCTTTGACGATAAGAGTCAACTCATTTGCCACCACTTTTGGGCTCAT